CACCGCCCGGACCGGCTGTGTACACCGGAAGTGACGACCTCAGGCCGGCTCCGCCCCCCGCCCCAACCCCAGGACTGATCACCCGGCAGGAGCCGATTCTCTTCTTCTATCCTGCCAGGCGGGTGTGCTTCTGAGCGTCATCCCCCTGGGACCAAGGACCTCCCAGGGGCACAGCCAGGGTGGAGGTTGAAGCCTCGCAGCCAGAACCCCCTGGGCCGCCCTGAGCCTCACTGTTTCTTGGCCTCTGCGTGGGAGGGGTCGTCCTTGGATTTATTACTGAAATTGGTGACTGAAATATTAAGTGCTAGTTGCCAGGCCCTGAAAGGCTTTGTAGAAACCGAATAAAACTCTTACTAGCATAGGTTTATTCTCTAGTGGTGGAAACAATACAACTGACAAATCCATGTGATAATATAGTGCCAATTGTGACAAGTGGCAGGAGGGGGAAAGTGGAAGACTGAGGGAAACAGTGTCTTGACCTGGTGGAGGAGGATGATCAGGGAATTCTCCCGGGAAATGAGCAAGAGCTGAGATCCTGAAAGGAAAAGCAAAAACAAGATGCTGAGGAAGGAGTATATGATGTTACAATACGTGAAATAGCAGGTGTTTATTTAAACTGCTTTGTGTTTAACAAACCTCGGCCAGTAAATAAATACAAAAACCAAGGCCACGGCGCTCAGAAATTAGATTTTAGCTGAGAGCATAGCAAACCTAATGAATGTTAGGCAGGGAATGATTTGACCACACTTGGGGTCTAAGGTGTGAAGGACTGGGAGGGGAGGAAAGAGTGGATGTGTGGGGCTGGAGTTGCAGCTCAATGGTAGAGCACTTTGCCTAGCATACTTGAGGCCCTGAGGTAGATCCCCAGCATCAGAGAAGGAAAGGGAAAGGAAAAAGAAAGTAAAAGAAAAGAGAAGGGGGACGGAGAAAAGGGGAGAGAAAGGAAAGGGAGAGGAGTGGCGGGGTGCGATGATGCATACATGTAATCCCAGTATATCTGGGAAGCTGAGGCAGGAGAATCACAAGTTTGAGCCTAGCCTAGGCAATTTAGTGATTTAGGAAAAATAAAAGTGAATGTAGATTTGTGTATTCATGTTCATAGTAACATTCATAATAGCCAAAATGCAGAAGTGCCTCAGTCCCTGTGGTTTTGTAACTAATGGTCAACTTGGAACACCCAGCTGAACTGATGAACTGAATCAGTTTGCTTGGGTGTAGAAGACCCACCTGAGGACTGTGGCTAAGGGAGTAAAAAGAGAACTAGAGGGGAAGCTCATTGGCTGTTGGTTTTCTTGAAGAATGTTGCCGCAGGTAGTTTTCTTGATGCAAACTTGGCTGTTTTCTCACTGTAGGAGGACCTTGGGTCCTTGCCGTCATTGGGAATGGCTGCTGTTCTCTATCTTTGCTGTGAGCGTCACTTCCTGGCTCCAGTGCAGATCCCTCAGCTTGGTGGCACAAATCCTCATCCCACTGGCACAGGCTTTCTGGTTTCCACCCCTGGCCTTTGGGTCTTTCCAGTGCAGAACCTCTTTACCAACAAGCATGAGACATTGCCATGGGCTCTAGGCCACTGGCTGGACTTATGGAAGACATTGCCATGGACTGTAGGCCTTCAGCTGGTCTTTGTGTGGGACATTGTTTTGGGATCCAGGCTCTCAGCTGGATTCTTTGGGTCTCTACTACACAGCTAGATCTTACATTCCTCTGCATTTGACTTTTTGGGTGATAATTGTAAAATTATCCTACAAGTTATGTGTCCTGTATTAAATCTATTTCCTTTGGAAACCCTGACTAAAACAGTCCCCATCCAAATAAAAAATACAAAGTGTGGTGGGGGGAGTAGGCTGGGAATGGAGCTCAATGCAATGGCCAAGGCTTTGATTCTCAGTAATACCCTCCCCCAAAAAAACCCAACCAATATATAGGGAAGTTCTAGTATTTTTTCCCTATGGATTGCCTCCTCAGGTATGCAGACCTCACTTTGAAGACAACTCACAGACTGTGATACTGGCAATGGGGTTGGAGAAAATCGGCCAAATTTGAGGAAAATTTCAGAATAAAATTTATGCAAGTCAATGTTGAAGTCTTCGGTCTTTGGGATGAGCCAATATAATGGTGACAATCACATGGTGGAAAGCTGCTGAGGAAGATATTTGGGAGGGTGGAAGACAAGAAGGACATGAGTTTCACTGTATGAGATCAAGAAGGACACAGTGAAAGGTGTGGTGGCACATAATTGTATCCCAGTATTCCGTAGGCTAAAGCAAAAGGTTTGTCAGGAGTTTGAGGCCAGCCTGAATGACACAGTGAGACTCTGTCTCAAAAAAAAAAAAAAAAAAAAAAAAAAAAAAAGG